CAAAGACAAGACAAAAAAAACAAAGAAAAAAAATAATAGTGTGAGAGAGAAAGAGAGAGAGAGAGTAAGATAGATACATATATAGAGTTATGATGATAGATGAAAATCTTAGAATTGTAAAAAAAATGAAAGTATAATTAGTATCATTGGATCAAAACGAACTGAATTGCGAAAAATTTAAAATAAACAACATAACTAATTTATTATATAAATTTTTTTTAAACCCCCCTCCAAACCCGCCCAAACCCTCTAAACGGACAGTCCCTTAAGGTTAGGGTTTCCTTTGTTATCGGACTATGGGCCTGGGAATTCTTGGCTGGGCTGCTCTAAGCCTTAATCGATGACTTGTCAAATTCCGAATGGCCCAGCACATGATATAATTTAATACATATCATGAATAATACATATATAATTTAATACGAAACTTTCAAGATTAAAATATTATATATATCTATATCTTCCCCCCAAAACCACCCCATCCCATCCTACCCAACCCAACCAGCAATGGCTCCCTGGCAACTGTCCTCACTCTCTCTCTCAGTCTTTTCCCCAAATTCATGTCGACAGGCGGCGGCTCCCTGACCCCTCTCTCTCTCTCTCTCTCTCGTTCTCTTCCCCAAATTCATACCGACAGGCGGCAGCTCCCTGCGCAAACACCCTCCCCCCATCCCTCTTCTGTGTCTTCACCACCTCCTCTCTCTCTCTCTCTCTCTCGCGAGTATCAGGGCCCAGCCCCAACAGTTGGTTGTATTGCTACGAATTGTGTTTGTGGAATTTGTTGGTTGTATTGCTACGAACTAGTTTTTTTTTATTCTTAGTTAAATCAAAGCTGTATTGATTTTCGTTTGTGTGTTTATAACTGCTTATTCTTTTGTGCTATTTGGTTATGGATCACAGTGGTCGTGGTTATGGAGGGGCTTCAGCATCTGGTGACTTACATACATATCTTGGCGGTAGGCATGTGGTTCATTTGTTATGTATCAGAGGTTGAGGACACTCATAATAGGTTTGCTTTTTTGGAGAGTAGTGCTGTATAGTCCCTTCCGCTGTTTTACCTCGAAGGTACTTATTTAGTTTGCTTTTAGACATTGCATGGAATGTGAATGCTTCATTGTGTTTTTCATTGCATTGGAAGGTATTGAAAAAAAGGAAAAGTATGGCTGGGTTTGGGTTGGTTTTGCTCTTCGTTCAAATGCCCTCAAGCTGTTCGATCAAATGCCCCTAACATACATTCTCTGTCAAAGGCACCCTCTGAATCACAACCACACCTGTTAAAAAAACAATCACAACCACACACACACACATCTGTTTTTCCTTTTCTTTTCGGTTTTCATTTTTTTCTTTGTACAAAAAAATTCAGTTTGCTATTCATAAAAAATGATTTTCACAATGATCTTTAACCTTGAAAGCTATTAACTTAAACTCTGCTTCTGTTATCTTTTCATAGACTGCTTACTGTTACTTCAATTAAAGTTCTAATATGTAACATATGCTGGTTGGTTTGGGATTGTTTAACTAGATTGACTTTTTATCTCTGTAATCATGCTACAATCTTTTCAGAATAACTCTTGGATTATTGACATTGGAGCCACAAACCACAAGTGCTCCACACTTCGGCTGCTTCATACTATGTCGAACTACAACTCTTTCTAATGCTCTTTCTAATGTTCTTTCTAATGTTCAGCTCGATTGGTTCAAATGTCAAATGGTTCAACTGCACCCATAACTCAAATTGGTGTCACTTCCATTAATTCATCCCTGCTTTATTCCCAACCGTTGTCTTTTTCAGAACCTCACCACGAAAAGAAATATTGGAGTGGGTAGTTGCTGGAACGGCCTTTACCATTTACATCCTTCCACCAGTCTTCATCACAGTGTGAAGCCCGAACTTTAGCATTAATTTTAATTTCTATCCCAAAAAAAAATTGCTCTGTTTTAAAGCTCTAACTTGCTGATCCAAGCATACCCATTTCCTCAGGCTTTCATCTTCACGTGACTTTCAAGGCTCGGGTTCTGGTACACATCCAAACACAGGTTAATAAATTCTCTCTCTCTCTCTCTCTCTGTTTTCTATCCCAAACTTTAGCATTAATTTTAATGGTGTTTGAAAGGGGTATTTTTTTTTTGTGACTTATGTCGTATATCCCTTTTTAGCATCATGTTTGTAGGCATACGCGGTACGTGAGCTTTGGCCATATAGGTTCCTCCATATCTTCACCGACCCATCAGAGGAGCAAGTGAAACGCAACCATCAAGGTAAATTGATATTTATGTTTTTGGGAGGCATTAGATATATTTGATGATTTGTGTTGTGATTATTTTTCTTGATATCTCTCTATTCGTATCAAAGTTGGCATTAATTTTAATGGTGTTTGAAAGGTGTATTTTTTTTTTTAACTTATGTCGTATATCCCTAACACAGGTTTTTAGCATCATGTTTGTAGGCATACGCAGTACGTGAGCTTTGGCCAAATAGGTTCCTCCTTATCTTCACCGACCCATCAGAGGAGCAAGTGAAACACAATTTATGTTTTTGGGAGGCATTGGATATGTTTGATGATTTGTGTTGTGATTATTTTTCTTGATATCTCTCTATTCGTATCAAAGTTGTTTGCTTTGTTGCTAGAGGTCGATTTCATATTGGTATATTTTGATGTGGTGTACTTAGTTATTGTGGAAGTTTTTACTACTTATATTGCATTTAGGAGTTTTTCATCTGATTTCTTTATATGTTTGGTTTTGCTAGATTTTGATTTCTTTGTCAATTTATGGACTGAATTTGTATCAGAAAGAGCTACGGACACATTGCCGCCAACATTCAACATTGTTCTTCTTTATCATTTTTTTGGTTAAAGAGCAGTAACATTAGACATTGTGTGTTCCTCGCGGTGGGGTGGATTCTATGTGTACATTTGTTTTTTGGGATTAAAGTTCTCTGAGTATGATTTTTGAATATAAAGTAGGTTTTCTACGTTGAGTGTGGCAAAACTACGACTAAATTTTGATGCAGCGGCTAAATTTTGATGTGTAAATGAGGGATTTTTATCCTGATATAGCGCAATGGGTTTGCTTCTGTAGACATGTAGAGTTTATGAAATGATTTGAATTAATTTTGTTGTAATATGTTGTGATTGGTGATCAAGCTACTCTTTTTTGGGTTATTAATGTGTTGTTATTGTGTTTTTGCTTTTGAACATTCTAATGTTTTGCTTTGGTTTTAATCTATTGTGTTGAATTTTGTTGTGATCTTCTGGGCATTGAATAATAGAGGTTTGGTTGGATTTAGTTTAACAAATTTGGTTTCATTTTCCATTTGTTGAACTCCCATCAATTTTATATGCTTCACACACACACACAAAATGCACACCAACACACATACAACACTCACATTCAGCCTGCACACATAGCCAATACATCACACCATATGTTTGACAGAAGTTAGAATTATACGTGAAATATTTGTTAAGGTAGAATTAGATGTGAAATATTTTTATAAGGTAGAATTAGATGTGAAATTTTTGTATTCTATTGAAAATATTTTGTTAAGGTAGAATTAGATGTGAAATATTTTGTTAAGGTAGAATTAGAGGTGAAATATTTTGTTAAGGTAGAATTAGATGTGAAATATTTGTATTCTATTGAAATTTTTAGTATTACATGATTAGTGCCTGATTTTGTGTTACACAATGTCTTTAGCTACTCATTTTGTCTAATTTTTTTTTAAAAAGTTGTATAGTGGACTCCTCTTTGAGAAGTTCGATATTTATATTACATTGTGTCTTTCGGCACGGGTTATTGACTTTTAGACATAAGTGACTTTTAGTTCATTTTTTTCCTTTTCTTGTTTGGTTAGTTGTGTAATTTGGAGTGTTTCTGATTTAATGTAATTTTTTTTTTTGAATTTAGGTGGTTAAAGTATTGGTTGATGACAACTTTTGATCCTTTATTTTACTAAAGTCATGATATTAAAAATAATCAAACGATTTTCAACTTAATACATGTTTATATTCATTGTTGATTGTTTTGTGCTTAAGAACTACATGCAATATTTTCAAACACGTGATATAGGGCGAGTTTAGTCTTTTAGTTTAGTATGTGTCTGAATTCAATGCTTGATTATTTTGCGTTTAAATTCAATGTTCAATTTTTTTTAATTGTATCGTACCTTCAGATACGGGTTATCTTTAGTGTGTGTGTGTGTGTGTATATATATATATATATATATAATATTAAACAGTAATACATTCAACAAAAAAATAGTAATATTTATATATATACACACACACGCATATATATATTTACATACACACATACATAGATATATATAATATTAAACAGCAATACGTTCAACACAAAAATAGTAATATTAAACAGCAATACGTTCAACACAAAAATAGTAATATCAAAGAGTAACACGCTCAACACAAAAATAGTAATATCAAAGAGTAATGTTAAAGATTAAAATTTTAATTAATTTTTTTATTGAATAAATTACTGTTTGATGTTATTATTTTTTTATGGAGTGTGTTATTGTTTGATGTTATTACTTTTTTGTTGAGCGTGTTATTGTTTGATATTATGTATATATACACACACACACACACACACAAGAAATTTCAAATTTTTAAAATTCAAAATGATATAATAATATACAAATATCAAAAAAAATCTTGAAGATCTTACATTTTAATATTTAGATATTAAAAATATAAAAACTGTCAATTAGGTCTGGATTATTTATAATAGGGTTAATTATATAATATATTTTAGAAAGAATTTAAAAATATTTTAAAATATGTATTTATTGACAACTATTTAATAAAAAAAGACTTAAAAGAGAATAAATTTAAAAATAACACTAAAAGTCAGATAAATAAATTTTAAAAAATATGCTAACGTCCATTATCTCTAGGAGTTGAGCCGGCCCGGCCTGGTCCATTATCGACCCTTATCCTTATCTTACCAACTCACGAGAAAAAACGGTTCTTTTCCGCACGACTCAGCCAAGCTACGCACAAAAACGAATCTTCCTCTTTTGCCGACCAAGCCAAGTAACTCGATCTTCCTCTCTCTAAAAATCCTCTCACTTTCTCTCTCTAAAAAATCCTAATCTGCGTGCTTTTGAAACCCTAGTTCTCTTCCTCTTACTTTGTTTCGATCAGTGATATTTTTTATCTTCCACTATGGCTTCCGGATCGTCGGGTCGGAACAACAATTCGGGTTCGAAGGGGTTCGATTTCGTGACCGATGACATTCTTTGCTCGTACGAAGATTATGGGAATCAGGAGAGTTCTAATGGAAGCCACTCAGAGCCTGTGATCGGGATCAATTCTACTAAGGTATTATACTCGGATACTCTATCTCGTTTGGTAATTATTTGATAAATTGAATTGTATAGCTGGAACAAGCATTTTCAAAGAAGGTATTACACAAGGGGACCTCCCTCTTCCCCTTGATTGTTGAATCCATAGCTCTATGCGATATATGTGTTTTTGATTTTATGGACTCATGGACTGAATTGAAGTTGAGTATTGGAAGAGATTTAGGTGATTCATTTTTACGTCAACTGGAATGGAGATCGAATGCTGTGTTTCCTTGCAAATAGGGTGATTTGAGGCAGTTTCCATTTTTACTTCACGAATTTCAGATTTTAGGGTGGTTTGAGGCATTGGGTTTGTACTTTGGGGTTGGAATGAAGTACAATGGCATTTGGTGTTGCTGGGAAGAGGAATAGAATTTTCGTTGGACTGGCTGACTTGAGTTTTTATTGGAGAGAAATGTGTTTCGAACTTGCTATGTTTTGTTGAAGAAGTGAGAACCTATATCATTGTTGGTCTTTGTAAATATGTAACAGTGGAAAGCGTGATTTTTGCTTCCTTAGTGAAGACGAATTGAAAAACTGTGAAAGAAGATAGATATAAATGGCAGTGTACAATTAGCTGGAAGGAAGAGGATCAGGTGAATTTATAGGTTATGTTCATATAATATTCTAATTTTATTGTTGCAATGTATTGTGATCTATTTACAAAAGTTATGTTCATATAATATTCAGATTCTTTAAAGTAGATGGTGAATGGCATCTTGGATGTTTAAGTGATGTTAGTTTGCAGAGACGTCTTGCAGAAGCTGAACCTTTGGCGTTAAGATTGTTGTTTGTTTATTTTCTATCTTCTTTTTGATATATAAGAACAAGATTGGAAGACCTTTTTATAGGCCCAACAAGAGACCATTTCTTGGCCACTCCACGTTGATGGCTTGTGTTCAAGCAATGGAATATACTGATTCTGATCAAGGAAGATAAAGTTTTCTGTTTTGTGTAATGTTGGTTAAGAATACACATTATATTAAGTAAAACATTTACTATAGTGGGAGAAGATTAGTAAAAGCAATACTTAAGCTAGTAAAAAAAATCCTGTTGTGGAATAATTTTCGAGATATTTTGACGAGAAACAATGTTGTGCAATGTGCACGTATCAGAGTGAGATTGATTACATGATTTAATATCATTGTCAGGCAAAGTAAGGACTAAGGACCACCTTGAAGATCTCTTAATGATGTTGACTTTTGTAGCTTTTTATTTCCTTGATTTCCACCCCATAACATAGCATGCCTATATTATAATTTGAAATTTCATTCCCTAATTTTAATAAAGCCGAGAAACAATTCCAGTTCTATAAAATTATTGTTTGAGAGATCTGTGTCACCTCCCTAGGTTGGCTTCCCCTCTGTGTCAAATGGAACATCTAAACTCCTTATATTCTCTGTGGGATTATGTTCTAGTTGTTGCAACTAAACAATCGTTTTTTCTTTCTTGGCTAATTCAAAAGTAAAGTGCTATCCATGAGATTAAGAGAAACTCTAAGTAATATCAAGTTATACCATTTATGAGTGTCAAGCAGCTTTTGTTAAGGATAGGCAAATTTTGGATATAACACTTGTAGCTAATGAGATTGTGGAAGATTACAGAGCTAAAGGTGAGGAGGGTTTTGTTTTTAAGATTGATTTTGACAAGGCATATGATCACGTGGATTGGGATTTTTTGGACTATGTTTTAGAGGTGAAAGGATATGGAGGGAGATGGAGGTGATGGATTAAAAGGTGTGTGCACTATATGAATTTTTTAATCATGCTTAATAAAAAACTCAAAGGTAGATTTAAGGTATTTAAAGGTTTGAGACAAGGTGACCCATTATCTCAATTTTTTTATACTTTAGTTGCGGATGGATTGAGCAGGTTAGTTAGGAGGGCAGAGATTTGTGATCTAGTTAGATGTTTTAGTATAGGGAGAGATGGGATTGTGGTCACTCATTTACACTTTGGTGATGATACGATATTGGAAAAATAGTAAACTTTAAGAATATTGTGGAGAATTTTGATTTGGTGTATGGTTTGAAAGTAAACATTGATAAAAGTGTTCTCGTGGGAATCAACTCATGTATTGATAACGTCAATTGAGTTGCAGGACTCTTGGGGTGTAAGGTGGGAGAATGGCATTTGAAATACTTAGGGTTACCTTTGGGTGGGAATCCATTGTCACTAACTTTTTGGGATCCGGTGGTAGAAAGAGTGGGAAAAAGGTTGGATGAGTGGAAAAAAGCTTTCATTTCAAGAGGTGGTAGGTTAACTTTAGCACTAACAGTCCTAGCGAGTATTTTGACATATTTTTTGTCTTTATTTAAAATGCCAAGGAGAATTATTTTGAAGATAGAAAAAATGACGAGAGATTTTCTATGGGAGGGGAGTATCATTTAATAAACTGGAGGGTGGTTTCTAGTCCTAGGGACAAATGAGGCCTTTTTATTGGTAATTTGAAGGTAAGAAACATAGCATTATTGGGTAAGTAGTTATGGAGGTTTCCATTGGAGCCAAATTCATTGTGGCATTTAGTTTTCAAGAGAAAATATAGCTTACATGCCCACGGATTGGGACACCAATGGGGTTGAGGGGGTAAGTTTTCGTTGTCCATGGAAATTCATATCTCAAGATTTGATGAGACTTTTCCAAGAGTTGAGATTTATGGTGGGTAATAGTTAGAGAATTCTTTGTTTAGGAGGATGCTTGGGTGGAGTTATTTTTTTCATTTATCTATCCACGTCTCAATCAACTAGCTTATTCTCGGAGTGTTTCTATTGCTTTTGTGAATTGTCTGATGTATTTTCTTGTAAATGTTTTTTTGACTCTTTGTTAAATCAATATTCTTGTCCTATTTTTGCCCTTACATTGATGATCTGGAAGTCTGAAATGCCTGTTAAAGTGCAATTTTTTGCATTGACTATTGCACATAGAAAGCTCAACACTTGTGATGTGCTTTAGAAAGGAAGACCTCATAGTTGTTTTTTGCCTCAATAGTGTGTAATGTGCAAAGGTGATTGTGAAAGTATAGATCACTTATTTTTGCATTGTCTTGTTGCTTTGGCTATGTGGTATAAACTGTTTCAAGTGGCGGGTTTGAGTTGGGTGCTTTTTTTATCATCCATATCTTTTTTTATTGAAGATATGAAAGGTTTTGGGAGGTTCGATAAAGGTGCGACTCATGAGAATTGTGTTATTATTGCTAGTTTTTGGATTATTTGGAAGGAAAGAAATGCAATAATTTTTTATGATCGATATGAGTCTTTGGATGGATTATGGGATTGTATTCATTTCTTAACCTCATTTTGGGCTTCAATTTCTAAAAATTTTAAAGGAATCTCACTTTTTTGCAATCTTAGCATGATGGAGAAAAATTTGTGACTTATAGGCTTATTATGTAATTTGATTTCTCTCTTTTTCTTTTCTTATTGGTTGGATTTCTTATCCAACCTTTTTGATGTAACTTTTATTTCTTAATCATTAATAAAGTATTTGGTTTCTCATCACATGAATAGTATTTTGGGGTTAGATGAAGGAGAAAGGTATGGGGTTTTGTAGATGATAGTTAAGGGTATAACTATGAGTATATCAGATCTGATAAAGGTGTTTAGAACATGGATAGTTGTAGAAAAAAAAAACCCCATAGAAAATTAGAAATCACTTCTATGGTTCCTTCAGCAACACTCTTAGGGTTTTGAATTGCATCACACAGTAATAAAATTATATAATTGCCGAAAGTTTTGAAAATTATTTCTCTATAAATTAAAGCATTAAGTGGGAATCTAACCTAAACCAGAACTAGGACTCTAAATTCTAGAACATCCAACAATAGAATTTAACCCAAAAGACAACCCACGGATTAGACTATGACCCTTTCTAACTAATCTAAAAATTACAAAAATATTCTTGTTTCTGAAACCCATAAACTAAAAATACCAACCAATCAATTTTAAGTTTCTCAAAAATAAGACCTAGCTAGACTCAAAAACAATTATGCAAGGTTCCATGTGAGTGTCTACATTCAAAGCAAGTCAAATTCTATAGTTTGTCCCGTCTTTGAATTTGCATTTTCTTATACACATCGTATTGGCCGCATCATTTTCTATTTTCCTCTTAGTTTAAAAAAAAAAAAGAAAATCTTAGGAAAATCACTCAACTTTTTTTTTTAGTTGCTTCCCATTGGGTAATTTCCTAAAATGAAATAAATTAATTAAGTGAATTTGTTTTGCCCTCTGGAAATGTGACCGCAATTTTGGCAAGATGGGTTTTCTTTTGAAGTAATGGTGGGACCTTCTCCCAAGAGGTATCTGACAGTTGCAGACTTAGTTTGAAATCCTTATAATACTTCTAAAGACAGAAGATTGCTCTTATAATGAGCTCTTTAGCGGCTCTGCTACTTATAATCTTTTACTCTATTATTCAATGTTGTCAGAAGCGAGCCTATTGCCTCGAACATGCTAGGTGAAGCAAACGTAGGCAAAGCGAGAGAAAAGCGCGTAAAAGCAAAGAAGCGAAATAAACGAATAAGTGATTGCTTTAGGGTGTGTTTATTAACCTAAATTCAGCACTTAAAATGAAAGTATTCAACACTTATTAATTAAGTCCGTTTGATAATCAAAATTTAAACTCTCTTTATATATTAAGTGTTCCTTAAAAATAGGCTACAATATTTTGTAGGAAATCTTTTACTTAATTCTGAAAGCTGAAAGCGCTCAGCAAAATTATCTTTAATAATATTTACAATATGACAATTATACCCCAAAATATTTTACAATCCTATTAAAACTTTAATTAGTCTTCTCTCTAAAATCCCAAATCTATCTATTCTCCTTGTCGATCTCTTCTTTTTTTTGTTTTTCCCTTGCCTTCTGCAACAAAAATATACATACATAATTATAATTACACACACAAATACACGCACTACACACAAATACACGTACTGCACCGACACAGTTACACACAAACATATGCACTGCACACACACAGTTACACATGTGGGCTACACACACGCATACTTTCACGGCGCACACACATATTGTTAATGAAATTTAATTTATTGTATTTTTTCAATATTATTTGATTATTTATTAGTTATTGCTCTTTTTTTTATCAATTGTTATTATTCACTTATTGTGTTTTTCAAATGCTATTTATTTATTTATTTATTTTGATCAAATATTTGTTAAATGTAGACTACAATATAATAATAGTGATTATGATTTATATTATGACATATTTTATAAATATTTTCAAATTAAACAGTAGAAGGGTAAAACTGAAAATTAATTTATTTTCAAACGTCAGCTCTGTTCGGTTATCAAATAGTTTAGTTCAATTCAGTACTTAAATTTCAATGGATACCAAATAGTCTACAAATTCAGCTTTCAGACTTCAGCTTTTAGTTTTACCAAACACCACTTTAGTGAAGTTTTTAATTCTACATCCTTTGATTCTTCCTCTCCTCTTCTAATTCTTCCCATCTTCTTCTAATTTTCTGGTTTTGTTGGAACCTCCTCCTCCTTTTCTACTATTTTTCTGTTTTTTTTTTGTTGTGTTGTTACTTGCGATGTTGATTCTACTTCCTCTTCTTCTACTTTGTTTCTATTTTTTTTTTTGATGCGATGTGATGCTGATTTTGTTTCTAGTTCTGTTGGAACCTCCCCCTCTACTGTTGTTGTCATGTTGTGTTATGCAATTATGCTTAGACTGATTTTCTACTTTGTTATTTTGGTTTTTTGCTTTGTTATGATTGGGTTTCTATTTTGTTATGACTGGGTTTCTACTTTGTTATGCTGGTTTTCTGCACTTGTTGCTTAGACTGATTCATCTGTGTTTGTTTTTTAGACTACTCCTGTTTGATTCTGCTGTTTTGTAATGGTTAGTTCAATTGCTTTTCTCGAAAAGGACTGATTTAGTAGAATATCATATAATTTTTGTAGTTGCTTCCTATTTTTAACGGAAAGGATTTCATGTGTTGTGATGGTTGAGTACTAATGATCTGATTTTTCATCTGTGATGGTTTAGATATAAAATATTTGCTTGTTTTTTTATTGTTCGTTTCGCTTCAATGAAGTGCTCTCTCTCGCCTCTCGCCTCTCGCCTCTCGCCTAGGCCCAAGGGGACTTGTTCGCTTCGGTTCGCTTCACGCATTAAATAACACAGCTATTATTTTCCTTTTAACAAAGTTGTATTGTTTCCAGGAGTTCGAAGTATAACCCTTGGTTTGGAAACAGAGAAGCTTTTAATATTTTCTGATCAGCTGGGAATATTGTGTAAATATATTGCTAGGTGATACGATTGTGTGCCTTATTTACATTATTCTATACTGCACTCCCTACTACCATACAAATGTTGCTCCCAGTGCCAATGTTGAGGATTTGGAGATGTCGAGGTAGGCTGCTTTTGTTTGGAGTTGTGTTCTGTGGGTTTTACTAATATTTTGGCAGCGATTTTCCTTCTTTGGGACTTTTCTAACTTCTTATTTTGACCGAGGTTGGATTGGGGTTTGTTAACCACCTTTTTAACAATTGCATTTCATTTTGAATCTTAGGCAATTTGGTTCGTGAATTTAATGCAGGCTTTAGTGAGGTTTTGTGTTAGAGTGGTGGAGATTGAGTGAGCAATGTCAAATATTTTCACTTTTTCCATAGATATGAAGATTTTTTCTTTTCATTAGGATGAGCAGTCCATCAAATGGTTTTTCTTAGTCGTGTTCTCTTCTACAAAACTTTCTGTTATTTAATGTCCTTTGATAAATTGGGTTTCAATTGAAAACTGAATGTTAATTGCAGTGAATATATGTTAATGATTCTGAAGATATTGGATGTATACTGTTGATGGAAAAAAAAAAGGTTGGGAAAAATTTTCCTCATTACCCTTTATAAAATTGTTGAGAAACAGCATTGATCAATTGGCTGGAGTTCAAGTGTGTAGACACACATTTTACCTTGTTTTCATATGTTGAAGTATCCTTTCTGGTGTTTCTGAGGAGCAAATAATTTTTTATTTCTGTTTGCACTCATAATCGATGTCATTTTTATATCACTTTATCAGCTATGTTTGACTGTTGATGTTTTGCTATTGGATGTTTTCACCCACTTAGTAACTCTTTGTCTTGATATTGAGCAGGAATTCCATAAAAGCAGAATGACAAGATCATCTATGTTTCCAGCTTCCACTTATAGTCCGCCAGAGGATTCATTCAACCAAGATGTGATCACTACTGTTGAAATGACCATGAAGAAATATGCTGACAATCTCATGCGTTTTCTAGAGGGCATTAGTTCACGTCTATCGCAATTGGAATTATATTGCTACAACCTGGACAAATCTATTGGAGAAATGCGGTCTGATTTAGTTCGTGATCACGCGGAGGCAGACTCAAAGCTCAAATCTCTCGAGAAGCATCTCCAAGAGGTAATATATTTCGACATCTATCAATATACTGAGCGAAATAACAATCCACCTCTGGTCCCCAACCCTAGGTACAGTAGGAGTTTATAGACATTTGAATGACTGCCTGCCTTTTCACAATATTTGTGGAGCAGAGCAGATTGTCAAGTTAGCTCCTCGTATAATATTTGCTGGTATGTACCCAGTCAACTGCCCTTCTATTCTTTATCTATGTGTCTGTCCATTTTATAGTCATTCTCCCTAGGTTTTTGAGGTTTAAATGCCTCCTGTAAATGGAGTATCAATCATAATATAGGGTGACAAATGATTGAAAGTGCTTGTTGTCATGAATCTGGACTAATAGAAGCCTAAACAATTAATGGATACATCAACAGAAAATGATGGAAAGAAATGAAAGTTTGAAATCATTTGCTCTAAAGAATTCTACTTGTGAGCATTTATGCTTCCCATGACTCATTCCAAATGCAATAACAAAAATTATATGAAGGTTTGATTCTTTTGGGAAACTCTGCACATTTATTCTGGCAGTAGTTAAAAGACTAGTTACGCGTGAACCTTTTGTTCTGTGTAAGTTTTATACTTGAATATTGTCATTAGAAGCTTAATTGAACCGCACACAACCCAGTGCCAAGCTATGCTGGCAAACCAAGAGATTTATTTTGAATTATTTTCTATGCTTCTTGCTTAGAAGTCAGAACATGTGGTGTGCAAAGTATCTTATTCTTGTGTTTAGATGACAGCAAGATGTGTGACATGTCTGATGTTGTCTTCTCAATTGAATGTTACACTACCGAGAGGTTGCAGGCATAACACCAAATCTATTCGTCAGTTTACATTTATTTCTAATATTTAGCTCTTTTCAGTAGAATAAAAGGAATACTTTTTTTTTTTTGACTACAGAATAAAAGGATTACTTAATTCTCTGATATTCCTTTTGAGCTTTAGGCAACTCACCAATTTGGTCTGAAGTTAGTAGCCGGTTTTACTGCAGAATAATTGGGCTGGACCATGTGTCTGACTTGCTATTATTATTTTCTTCTCTCTACCGATTATATGGATAAATCTTAGACTAGTTTCACATCATGTGAATCTGACAACAGTAGTTGTTTTATGATGCCACTGCAGGTTCACAGGTCTGTTCAGATCCTAAGAGACAAGCAAGAACTTGCTGAAACCCAGAAGGAACTAGCCAAGATTCATCTTGCACAGAAAGAATCCTCTTCGTCAAGCAACTCCCAGCAGAATGAGGAGAGAGCTGCACCACCTGCTTCTGATCTCAGAAGGACAGAGAACACATCAGACGTGCATGGCCAGCAATTGGCTCTTGCCCTACCCCATCAAGTGGCACCACCACCTCCACTTCCCACCAGACCTGTAGAGCAGCAGCAGCAGCCTGTAGCAGCACCACCACCACCAATGCCGCCTCAGAGTATGACACAATCACCGGCATATTATTTACCTCCACCAAATCCTACAGCTCCAACCCCGGCACCTCAGGGTCAATATTTGCCATCAAATTCTCAGTATCAAACTCCCCAAATGCAAGACATTTCTAGGGTGGCACCACAGCCAGCACAATCTCAACTGAATCAGAGACCACATATCCAGCCATTACCTCAGTATCAGCAGCAGTGGCCGCAGCAGCTACCTCAGCAGGTGCAGCCTCCACAACAGCCCTCCATACAGCCCCAGATTAGACCCTCATCTACAGCGGTTTACCCTCCTTATCTGCCAACTCAACCAGCAAATCCTTCTCCCCCTGAGACACTCCCAAGCAGCATGCCAATGCAAGTGCCATTTTCTGGAATTCCTCAGCCAGGCACAAGCCGTTCAGAGGCAATGCCTTACGGATATGGTGGGGCTGGTAGGACTGTCCAGCCACAACCATCACCTCAACATCTCAAGGCCACTTTTGGAGCTCCGCCAGGGGATGGGTATACAGCTGCTGGATCCCATCCTACATTCTCCCCGGGGAATGCATATATGATGTACGAGAGTGAAGGGGGAAGGATACATCATCTACCACAACAGCCTAACTTCCCTCAAAATGGGTATCCTCCCACAACTGTACCTCTCCAGAATCCACTGCCAACTGCTAGTGCTAACGTTATGACTCGTCCTCCACAGTTAATGCGCAACCATCCCTACAATGAGCTGATTGAGAAATTGGTGAACATGGGATATAGGGGTGATCATGTTGTGAGCGTAATTCAAAGGTTGGAGGAGAGCGGCCAGCCCGTTGATTTCAATGCTGTGCTCGACAGATTGAATGGGCATTCTTCTGGGGGTTCTCAGAGAGGATGGTCTGGGTAAGCAGATATCCATGCTCCAACTTATCCAGTTGGTGCGAGATCACTGGGCGCTTTTAGTATATCTTGCATCCAATAAAGGCTGATATGCTTTGCACGGTGTTTGTTATATATGGATCAAGAGAGCTATTGTATATGTGTTCTCTCTTCCCAGGACTCTTGTGATTGGTTGTTACATTACCTGTTTTGATATGTTGCAATAGAAAGGCTGGTTGAATATCTGTATGTTGTCAGATTGATATGTTTTACCAGTGAGCTAGTGTTGGACTTCACATTTACGTTAAGTTTATTGAAACATGTCAGGTTTTATATTATAGATCTGGCTTGCATGCTTTTGGTTTTGAGTCTTTAGGAGAGCTTCATTAAATTAGCACCAGGGTGATGCACAATACTCGGACAGGGGAAAGAGGGAACCAAACCTAAAAAATTCCCACACCATTTACGCATCACCTGCAATTCAGGTCAATTGAATATTGTCCCAATCCAAACTATCTTGCGATCAGCTATGGATTATGATCTGGTCACTGTGTTTTATGTTTAAATTGTATACTGTCATAACCTTTCTAACTATCTCCATTTACATATTTACATATTTAACCAGAAAAATACATGACAACAGATTTTAATTGCATAAGATATATGTGCGGAGAAAATATTTGTGCTCATCAGACACCACATGGCAGTTCACCAACGAAAAATTGAGAAAACTTTTCATGCTCAATGGGTACCAAGCTGGCACCATTATATGCTAACAAAAATCAGAAATAGCCACATCAATAAAAGGTTAGATAGTGTCAGAAAAATGACACGTACTAAAATAAGTTGAATTGGTTGATAGAATTAATAGACGGATATCTTTTGTTTTTGTTGTCCTACTCTAAATATTTTATCTTTTCATTGTGATCTTGTCGTGTCATTTTTATTTATTCTATATTCTTTTTTCTCTCTCACATCCTGTGATTCAAAATTTGTATCACCCGCCTTTGATTTTTGAATTTTGAATTTCTACTATAAATAAATGAGATATCACAACCAAATATTCTCACTTAATTTTTTTGATTTTGCTTGAGAAGACATAACATGGTTTGCTTAAGTTTCCTGCTTCTCAACCTAAGACTAATTAACAAGAAGGACTAGAGGTGGAGCAGGAGCTCTTGGCTAGTTTTCTAGATTCTGTCTCATACTTGTCGTCAAAACCATCAATCAAACAGAAAGAATTTGAGATAGAACGATTAAAATTGTTTCCATAGAAGATGTTAAATTAATGATGTATAAAAACTGAGAGGTGTGAACTGGAGATAACTGAAGAGCTTTGTATAAAGTGTATGACGTGTGTGTGCGTGCGCTCATACACTATGAAAGACAAGGACAAAAGAAAATGAGTGGTTCACAAAACTAAAGAGTTAGGCTAATCTATTGTAACGGAGGCTCTTGCTCCTCTTGTTTTGTATTACTTGAGGAAGAATAAGATAATTACAGTGAGAGCTCTCAATTGCACATGACTTGGCTTGCCTATTTATACACAAGGGTGGTGAGGTCCTTAAGCAATCATGATGATGTAGTCCTCTAGTCTATTAGAATATTTGGAGGAATATTTGGCCATTAGAGATTTTCTTCTCTAAGTGTGACAAAACATTCTAAAAACTGTGACGTGACATTCTTGGAATAATGGTTTTTTGCCCAAGAGCTTGTTGGTGAAAACCCTTTGCTACCCTTTTTGGTGGATGCTAAGTAGTTCTATGTCCTTGGTGACCTGTTTTGCTTATAGATCAGATCGGCAAGGCATCAGTCAGGTCAGCCAGACTTTGCTTAGCCTTGCTGACTTGTTTGGAATATGAACTACATGTTTTCTATTAGTAATATCAATTATAATTACATCCTAATTATATAATGTTCATTGTGCGATAATGATAAGTCAAATTTTATAATATGAAATTCAATCCAACTTTAAAGAATTCAAATTTTGATACCCAGATGGAACCAGGTCAAATTAAGCTCAAAAAGTAATTGGGTAGCCATTGTAATCAAATTCTGATCGTGTACAATGTTCATCATGCGATAATTTGTGTGTTTTTCATCTATGTGGCCGTGGTGTTTTAGTGTGTATGTATGGGTGCCTATATTTTCATTTGTGTTTGTATTTTTATTCATGCTTTTCTGTGTCTGTTTCTGTTATGTTTGGGTATGGAGGGTCGGAGAAGGGGGGTGTGCGTGTGTTTTAGTGTGTGTATTATTTTAGTGTGTTATTTTTTTTATGTAGGTGTGTTTTTGTGTTCTTTGATTAAAAAAAAATAAAAACAAATCTTGTTTTTTTTTTTAAAAAAAAAAAGACCATTTTTCCATAACTATCTTTTAATCATAACCAAAAATCATAACAACTTTTATTTTTTTAATCATAAAACAAAAAAAAAATTACCAAAGAGGACTATAAATACTAGTATGATAACACAGCCGCACCTAAATAGGCTTTATCTTCTTTTTATTTGGGCTTTGTTTGGGAGAATGGAGGAGTGGTTGGTTCGGATGGATGGGCTGTCAACATAAAGCAACAGGTGACAAATTGCCTTTACTATATTCCGTTATGCTTTCACCAAGCTCAACAATCTTGTTTAACTACTATATTTTATTAAAAGCTATATTTTATGTTAAACTGTGGGTTAAAATCTAACTGAATTAAATTAAAAATGATAGCCACTTAGCCATACGCATTCACTTGCATTTTTTTTAGGAGCAATATAGCCCAAATTCCATTTTTTGAGTTTTTAGGGATAGTTTAATAGTTAATTTATTCTCGAGAGGTTTTAAGTTCGATATTTTTCACATCTTCTGATGGTCAACCACCCTTCTTCCTCATGAGATCTATAATATAAAATAAAGCAGACTTCAATAAACTAGTCCAACGATCTCAAATAGACTCATTCGATGGTTACTAACATTTTTCTCAAAATTATTCACATTAAATTCTCCTCTTCTAAATCCATCACTTACGTCCCACCGTACCTTTAGATACGAATTACCCCTAATATATTTTTAAATTAGCTTGAATTAGTATAATCTATTTCAGAGTTTAAGAGAAGAATTGTCAAAAAGTTAAATATTTGAAAAAAAAATCAATTTCTCTTAAATATATATATATATTGGGTCAATTATCTCTGATATGATTGAGAATCAGAGAGTCGTAAGGAAAAAGGAGACAGAGTCACACTTTATGCCAAAATCTAAAGGGTCAGACTACAATACCGATATTTTCTTTTCGATACGGTACCAAAATTTCATTTGGACCATTGATTTAATTTATCTGTTTTTGTAGCCAGTGATCAAGTTTGAGAAGTGGATACCGGTTTCCTGCTAAACCGGTAATGGAAAAGATTAGGGGAATTTGACAAATAATCTCACTCAAAAAACGTTGGAACCGCTACCAAAAAGTTGAACCCCTTTAAACTAAAAAAAGTTGGAACCCTCCCAACAAAACTTACCCAAAAAGGTTGGAACCCACTCCAAAAAATGTTGAACCCCTCCCCAAGAGTTGTAATCCATACCCAAAATAGTTGGAACCCCTCTTTTAAGAGTTGGAATCCGTATCCAATAGTTGGAACCTCTACCAAAAAAGTTGAAATTCCTAACCAAAAAAGTTGGAACCCATAACCCAAAAAATTGGAACCCCTGTCAAGGAACCTCTACCTAAAAAAGTCTGAACCCTACCCAAAAAAGTTGAAACCCTCCCCCAACTGTTAGAACCACCTACTGTTAGAACCCTCAAGAGTTGGAACCTCCAAAAACGTTGGAACCTCCCCACAAGAGTTGGAACCGCTAACCAAAGAAGTTGAAACTCATCCCAAAAAAGTTGGAACCCGTATCCAAAAAAGTTGAAACCCTTATCCAAAAAAGTTGGAACTACTAACCAAAAAAGTTAAAGCCTAACCCAATTAGGTTAAAACCCTTACCCAAAAATATTGGAACCACTACCAAAAAGTTGAACCCTTTTAAACTCAAAAAAATTGGAACCCTCACAACAGTTGGAAACCTACCCAAAAAGGTTGGAACCCTTACAAAAAGGTTGGAACCCACTCCAAAAAATGTTGGAACCCCACCCCAAGAGTTGTAATCCCCACTCAAAAAAGTTGAAACTCACCCAAAAAAAGTTGGAACCCCCCCTTAAGAGTTGCAACCGCTAACCAAAGAAGTTGAAACCCATCCAAAAAAGTTGGAATCCGTATCCAAAAAAGTTGGAATCCGTATTCAAAAAAGTTGGAACCCTAACAAAAAAAGTAAGTTAGAACCTCTACCGAAGAGTTGGAAACCTCTACCCAACAAATTGAAACCCCTAACCAAAAAAATTGTAACCCTAACAAAAAAAGTTGGAACCCTACCCAACTGTTATAACCCACCTATTTATTAGAATCCCAAGAGTTAAAACCTCCAAAAACGTTGAAACCCTACCCACAAGAGTTGGAACTGCAACAAAAAAGTTGAAACCCCTAATCAAACAAGTTGAAACCTACCAAAAAAAGTTGGAACCCTATTCAAAAAAGTTGGAAACCCTAACGAAAAATGTTGAACTCCTAACAAAAAAAAGTTGGAACCCACCCAAAAAAATTAGAACCCCTTCACAAAAAAGTTAGAACCCCAAGAGTTGGAACATCTAACCAATAAGTTGAAACCCATAACAAAAAAATTGGAACACTAACCAAAAAAGTTGGAACCCTAACCAAAAAAGTTGGAACCTCTACCCAAAAAAGTTCGAACTCTAATCCAAAAAGTTGAAACCCTCCCCCAACTACTGTTAGAATCCCTTAAGAGATGGAACCTCAAAAAAGTTGAAACCACCAAAAGAGTTGTAACCCCTATTCAAAAAAGTTGGAACCACCCCAAAAAAGTTAGAACTCGCCCACAAGAATTGGAACCTCTACGAAAAAGCTGGAAGTCGTACCCAAAATAGTTGGAACACCAACTGAAAAAGTTGGAACCCCTACCCAAAATAGTTAGAATTCAATCCAAAAAAGTTGGAACCCTACTCAAAATAGTCAGAACCCTAACCAAAAAAGTTGGAACCACCCCAAAAAGTTGGAACCATGGCCAAAAAGTTGGAACCCCAATTGGAACCTCTACCACAATAAGTTGGAATCCAGTTGGAACCTCCCAGAACCCACTATTACAACCCACCCAAGAGTTTGAACCTCCAAAAATGTTCAATTAGAACTCCTACCTAAAAAAGTTGAACCCTAACCAAAACAGTTAGAACTAACCAAATAAATAAGTTGGAATTATTTTAATTATTTGATTTTATTCTTTATAAAAAAATGGGACTATTTAAAAAATATTGAATATT